CTTCCAATGCCTAACATTCTGTGATTCTATGTGAAGTAACAAGAACTTTCTTGAGGGGGCCGGTCAGCTCAGTTGGTTGGAGCATGGTGCTGCTAACACCAAGGTCACAGGTTCGATTCCTGTTTGGTCCCCATGTGTTGCCTGATCTAGTTGAGAGGTGTCCCTGGGCACGACATGGAGGTTGGATTAAATGATCTCCAAGGTCCCTTCCAACCTAGGCCATTCTATGATTCTATGATTCTAACACTCTCAGCACTGCAGGAGGACAGGGATCACAATTGTATCCTGCGTTTCGGGAACGTATCTGATGCTCTCGGCAGTCGTGGTAAGTTTCTTGTGAAACTTGGATTGCTGGCATTAAGTGGATGTATGTTTTACTCTGGAACATCTGGACTTAGTTTAAAAGGCAAGACTGGATAAGGTGAACTAATGCTCTGAAGTAGTACAGAAAATGTTCCTTCTGATCTTCTGACAGGTGTGTATTCTGTGCAAATTTCAGAGATTTGAATCTTGCCACCCTCTCTCACTGAGAGTTCTACAGTTGCTTACCATGGCAGAGGATCTTGTTCTCCATCTTTGAGTGTCTGTGCCCAAGGAAGGGACACAAAGGCAACCATCCTATCTCATCATGTCTTACTGACACAAAGCGCCTTTCAGTTTTCAGTAGACTCGTGGCCAAAACAGACTTTGTAGTCCCTCAAACACTGAGCCTAAAAGGGAAGGTTCAAGACCAGACCTGTACATGAAGCCTGTTCACGCCATAGCTTGACTGTTTTTATTTTCTTGGTGAAAAAAAGAACAAGAAATGACAGTGCTGCTACGAGACCTGCATTCCTCTCTGGTAGTATCACAAACATTCAATTCTAGTGGTATTGATGGCCTGGCCTTTTTTTTTAGTGAGTGTTGTCAAATCAGATATAATCATGAAGTTAAGTTTAAAAAAGTGACCAATAAGTAAAAATAAAGAAATTAGATCTTGTTTTGTGTTTGTAGCTTTAAGCTTTTTCTCTAAAAAATGTTTTTATTATGTGATATATTCATGTAGCTGAGCATTTTATGCCTTAAGATATATTTAGAGGCTTATTTGTTATGCTTGTTCAGGTAATAATGGATTATATACTATTTACTAGATAGGGATTAATTATTTCTCTATATTAGTATCAAACTCAGTATAGATAAAAATTTTATTTAAATTGCAATGTATAGCATTTTGTATTAAAATGTTAATATTCAATTTACTGTTAAATATTTTTTTATAACAGAAGAAAGGATTTATCAAAACACATGTTGCATATGTAGCTCTAGGGTATACTAAACAAAATAACTGTTATCAATTCTTAATTGAACTGACCTTTCCTGGTCACAATGTCCTTCAGGATTTTAGAACAAAAGTATCTTATCCTTTTGTGCCTATTTTTTTATTTAGAGACTAAAAGAGGAAAACAGCTTTCCTGCTTTCTCAGTTTCCAGTTGCTTTACAGCTTTTAAATTAACAAGTCATTGACCTTGATGAATACAGCCTTTGCTTCTTTCTTCCTCCCCCCTCCCCCCCCTTCCCCCCGACCTATAGCATTTTTAGCACAAGTTTTTGCAGCCAAAATCTGGCACAACATTTCAAGGGGCTCTGCTTCACACTGCGCCTTCAGATGTGTCCATAAGCTTGGTGGTTTCTGCTTTCTGAATGGATATGTATTGTTGGAATGTATTTATTTTAAGTGGCCTTAGTAGATTAGGATAGCATTTTGTTTTAAGGTGAGCTGTCATAACTTTAAATTAGAAGAGTTTATTTTTCAAAAGAAAAGGTGCCTATTTAAATAGAGCTCTATTTAAATGTTAAAATTTTCAATCTTATTCATCCTGGCCTGAGGTCCAGCTGACTTTTGTTAGCTCACTTAAGAACTGTGGGCTATGATATCAGTGCGCTCTGGATCCTTCACTACAGTTTCTGTCATTTTTCCCATGGATGATTTTGGCAGTGCATGATTTATAGGTATTAAAGGGTTCGGAAAAGCCATCAGCTGTCCCTCGCATTTACTGCGCTCTCCAGTATGTTTACATGTCATTCTCTTCTCTGACCTGTGTAGCAAAACCTCTGTTTTCCTCTTCTGATGCGCTCCAGTACTCACTCTTGATGGAATCCTGATCAGTCCTGGAAGCCAATGCTTCTACACCCTGGTATCTAGGAAGGAGACTCAAGTTCGTGTTTGGATTGTTTGCCTGAGACATCCTCTTTTCCTCTAGGATTTGTGCAAATGCTGGTGGATTTGAATCTTTGAGGTCTGAAAACTGATGGTTATAGAATTTTGCATTTGCATCTGTGCGTAGCATCACAGTGTGTTACCTGTACCCACACCACGTACCTAGTGGGACCGAGTACAAGCTTGTCCTCCGGGTATTAAGTGCTGGCTGATGTCCGAGGTCTGTCTATCCATATGGTAGCTGGCATGGCAGAGCTGTAGCAATTTTTGCTGAAGACTAACAAAAAAGACAGCAGTGCATGTTTGTCTTCTTTCCTCTTTCATAGTTGTTGGAAGAGCATCAGACTTAGTAGGAGAAGATGCCCTGTCAGTTTTCAGCACAGATGTTAGAAATTTGTGAAGATAACTGGGCTTATGTTTATATAGGCTAAAGACATACTACCATTTTTATTCATGATGTGAGAGCTACACTGCCTGCAAAAGTATGTGTTTGTGTAGTTAAAAAACAATCTTAGAATTGGATCTGAATGGAAGCAGCTTTCCTGTCCCGAAATGGGGGAGAATGGTGATGAATAGTCCTAAGTAGAGTATGAGGAAAAGTTACTTTGGGTATTTTTTTTTCTCTGACTTGCTTAAATTTTTAGACCATAGTTCTTCCAAACAAATTTCAAAATAAAAATGAAAAACCAGAGCTTTTAGTATTGGGAAAGCCTTGTTTCATCAGTTGTGTTACACAACTTCTTATCCATTTAATGACACCTTTGTTGAGATTACCCCTTCTTGGAAGAAGTCTGGCCTTGGTGAATCAGTTCTTTAAGTAATTGAAGGTGACAGTTCCGTGCATGCTAATTGTTTAGTCATCTGAATTTAAGTTGTATAGGGATCTTAGTGAAGCACTTCTGAATTTATGATGTTACTTTCACTCAGGAATGTATGACGTGAGCAGGGCTGTAACCTGCTGAGTCACTACCCTGGTCTCTGATAGCTAGTAACTAGCAGCTGGCATGTCAAATAACTGGCTGCTAGTTGGTATTGGAAAAAGTAGAAGGAGGTGCAACACAGCGTAGAGACTGAACCAAATTAACGGCTCGCAGCTGGGAGGAAATGTTATGGAGGTCTCTCTCCCCAATCTTCTCCTCTATGTCACCAACACGGGTGCCTGTCAAGTCATGTAGCAAGTTTCTACATTCACTAACATAGCACAAATGCATATTTTGCTTAGTTTTCTGGTATTTTAGCAAGTAGAAGTGGCTCACTGTGTGATGAACACTAGAGGAGCACTAGAAGACGGGGAAAAGGTAGGTATGGGTGTAGGACAAGGAGCACTAGCTGAGACTGGATCTTTGGCTGTATAAGCTTTCTGGTAAGCATGTGGAACTAGAATGTTTCAAAGGTTTATAACTTGGGATTGCAGCCAGATTGGCCCTGCCTGATCTTTTAGCGCTGTGCTCCACTATAGTAGAACATGCAGTGATACCGGGTATTTTTGGCACAAGCATAATTCGCAAATGATATTATGATTTCCCAGTGCTATAATAGTGTGGGATTGCTGGAGCTAGTCAAAGGAATATGTTGTTTTCCTTATTCTTGGAAGTATCTGAGCTATTTTGGCTGGATGCAGCCGCTTCTTCATGTCCCCTCAAAAATAGCAGACCAGATATGTAGAGCATCAGCAGAAACTGTTAAGAGCTTGCAAAGTGGTAAGCAAAAACAGACAGTGGGAAGTGCTTGGTGAACTTTAGACTTTTTCTTTTTTCTTTTAAATTTTGTTTTCTGTTTTGTATAGCGTATTGTTTTTCCTCTCTTCTAGAGTTTTTGCACCCTTTGAAGTGTTTTGTGCTTTAACTAAGGCCATAGTTCCATTCTGTTCATACTGTCTTGTAGTTTTTCTCAGAAACTCCCAGCAAAAATATGTAAAATAATTTCCGGAAGAAATTATTATTATTATTATTATTATTATTATTATTATTATTATTATTGTTGTTGTTGTTGTTGTTGTTGTTGTTGTTGTTATTCCAGAAGAAGGTTGGGTGCTCCCAGATAAACTCAGTGTCCATGTCAATTTATGGTGGGTTTTTCTGGATTGTTTTTTTTTTTTTGCACCAAATCTTCTCTTGAAATGGACTGTTACTAAAAAATGGACTGTTACTGAAAATGTTTCATAAACTGATTCTTTCCTAGGCTAGGAGGGACTTTGCATGTCCTGCCTGAGGAGAGCCATAATCTTTGTTTTGTTCTTGGAATAGCTGTTGGGTTTTTTTGAGTAGTCCACAAAGTAGGAAAACCTTTTTACTTAGTATAATCAGTGCACTTAGTGCACTTTTTAGTTAGTGTAATCAGGTTCATCATTGACAGCTGCTCTGTGGTGACATTGCTTTTCTGTCTTTTTGTTTGATTCTTTTGTAGTTGCACATATGTGAAATGATGCTGCTGCCTATATGACCTGGAAGTTGTTTCTTCATATGTCGTAATCTTACAGAAACCTTACCTGTTTTTTTTGTTATTGTGTAGTTATGTGTGGTGAATCTAAGGAAGAAGTCAATCACTAGGGGAAATTCTTTAATTAGTCACAGCCATAATTCGTAAATCTTGTGTTGTATGGTCGATACAGACAAGTGGAAAGCCTATGTTTTGAACCATTGGTTTTATTTCATGAAGTCTTTACAATACAGAATACACTGTGAGTTTTTATTATGTGTTGCTAGCAATTAATTCTCCAGAAAAGAAAGAATAGAGTTTTTTTTTCTGTTAAGTGCCTTAAGTTCTTCCCTGTAAATAATTGTAGATATGCTTATCTTCACAGGCCAAACAGAGGATTTGAAGGATATACTCATTTGTGAGAATGGCAAGATTAGTGCCACATTCATAGAGCTTTGCAAAAACATTTTATTGGCTCATAAAATGATTATTTACTTTTTAAAGTTAAAAAAAAATGCTTATGACAATGTAGTGTTATTGATTTGGCTTTGGCTTACCATTCTTCCTCTGTTGGATAGCTTTAATTAGGCACATCATCTTGTGCTGTTGGTTATTTAGCTTGGTTTTGTTCATAGTTGTTGAAGCGTGTTGGTTTTCTGCAACTACTAGTCTCGTAGATAATAAAGTACTGACTACATCAGTGTTTACCACAGCTGTATAGCAGTTGTTATGTGTTCCTATGAAGTTAGCAAAGCTTTTTTCAATCATCATTATGTTTTTGTTTTATTAATTTGAATGTAGTTTTCTTGTAGTAGTTTAAAAATAACTTTAAAAAATGTTTTTAAATCTGCATCTCTTTAACTCTTCCCTTACTGGTGCACCATACTTAGAGCAGTTGCTTAAGGTTCTTTATTTTTGTTGCCATCAGTAGCGTAATTTGTCTTTATTGCTTTGAGAACAAGAATTTATACCCTAGGTAATTAAACTAGCAATGGATTCTCTTTTTGTAACTGCTTTGTTTCTTGTTGGTACACATCTTGCTACAACTGTATTTTAGGAGTGTGTCACTGGACAAGCTCCTCCATCATTTATTTTTTATCCCATGTGTCCTTTTCGTTATTTTCTTCTGTTTTGCTCTGTCACAACCTCAAAGTTCATAAAATGCTTCCTGAGACAGACTGAAAATAATATTTAAAATGAGTTTTGGCACAGATTGAGCACAAAGAGTTTTTTACTATAATTTGCTCTTTTAGATTACTGTAAAACTTCATTCTGTACCAAAACTAAGAATTTTTTCTGGAAGGGACCATCACAAAGCTAAGAAACCACCTGCCTATATCCCAACTGTAGATCTGTGTTCCAAAGAGTGACCTGGTGCACACCCCTTTCCTAGCATTGTTGTAACTTGTGGGAGGATGAGATGTCTTCTTTGGTCTCAACCTGTCCTGGGAAGAGAGTACTTGCTTGCCACATGGAGCCCTCATGAGATGAAGGTTTGCATGGAGAGCTGAAATTCCAGCAGCAACTCAGGTAACTCTGAAAACCTAATATTAAGCAGGGACCCCAACTACCTGCAGCAGTAGTAATGCCCACTTGTTGCTTTATGATCATAGTAGATAGAGCTACTTATCCAGTAAGTAGAAATTTTGGGCCCTAGACCCTCATCTCCTGAAGGGTATCTAAAACCTCTGATTTTCTACAGGCAGATGTCCTACTTACTAACCGAAAGAGTAGTCTGAGGTGCAACAAATTCTGCCCTTCATGTTGAAGTTGGGCTACTTTACAGACAGGGGTTGTTACAGACAAGCTTATGGAGTGTGGACTGAATGAGCAGACAGAGAGGTGAATTGAAAACTGGCTGCAGAAACGTGCCCAGAGAGTAGTGGTCAGTGGCACAAAGTGTAGTTGGAGGCCAGTGACTAGTGGTATACCTCAGGGGTCAATACTGGATCCAGTCATATTTATCATCTTTGTTAATGATCTGGATGGTGGGACAGTGTGGCCTCACCAAGTTTTGTGAGGACATAAAACTGGGAGGAGTGGGTGATACTCCAGAGGGTCATGCTGCCATTCCGAGGGTCGCTGGAGAAATGTGTGGGCAGGAACCTCATGAAGTTAAATAAGAAGTGCCAAACGCTGTGGTGGGGAGGAACTCCAGACACCAGTACAGACAGGGGACTGGCCAATTGAAGTGCAGCTTTGCAGAGAAGGCCTTGGGGTCCTGGTGGACACATTGCATCTAAGACAGCAATACACACTCGTGGCAAAGCAAGCTAGTGGTATCCTGGGCTGCATCAGAAGTGTGACCAGCAGGTCAAGGGAGGTCATCCTTCCCCTGTGCTTAGCACTGATGAGGCCACATTTGGAGTACCGTGTCCAGTACTGGACTCCTCAGTACAAGAGAGACATGGACATACTGGACAGAGTCCAATGAACAGCCACAACAATGATTAAGGGAGCATCTGTCTTATGGGAGAAGGCTGAGAGATCTGTGACTATTCATCCTGGAGAAGAGAAGGCTGAGGAGTAGTATCATCAATACCTGAAGAATACTAGGGTGCAAAGAGGGTGGAGCCAGGCTCTTTCCAGTGGTGCCCAGTGACAGGACAAGGGGCAGTGGGCCCAAACTGAAACACAGAAGGTTTGCTGTGAACATCAGGGAACATTTTTTCACTGTGAGGGTGATAAGCACTACCTCTGGACTTTCCGTCCTTGGAGATCTTCTGGACATGCTCCTTGGCAACTTGCTGTGGGTGGCTGTCCTTGGGCAGAGTAGTTTGGACCAGATGACCTCCAGAGGTTCCTTCCAGTCTCAACCACTCTGTGATTCTGTGAGTGATGACAAAAGTGCTTGAGGCGAGGGCATGTTTGATTTTTGCCATTTTTCCACTGGAATACTAGATTCAGTTGTACCTTTAGAACCATTCTGCTTCTTTGTTTTGCTCCTTCTTACCCTAGAGTTCTGGGGTTCTGTGGCTGAGCAGCAGTTCAGCCTAAAGAGCAAGCCAAAGAGAAGTGCCTTCCCTTGCCTTTACAGAGTGTCCTCAAGGCAGGTGCCTGGGACACTTAGCTGGGATAAAAACAAATGAATTCACCCTCTTTTGTGTAGATAATGACCTGGGACTGTTGCCCACTTGCTGAACAATTGTTTTATTAGGTGAGATGCCCATTCCTTCTACTGCAACAGCCTTCTTTTTCAGAAGAATTCTCTCTAAGTGAATCTGCTCAGCTGATGGCTAGGCTGGCTGGGTTTCAAGGGGGTGTAGATAGATTATGTATCGATTCTTGGTCCTTATAAGGTAAATTGCCCTCAGATGGCTTCCAGGTACACTTACCTGTGTCTTCTGTAGGAAAGGTGTATACTTAGGAAAACTGCATTAAATTTCTCTCATCGTGCACTTAGACAAAGCAACACCTGAATGCAAGTGAGAGGTGCTGAATAGCATTATTAACTCGTATACCAGCGCTTACAAAGTATTGCAGGGGCATTTTTACTTGAAGTATATTATTTTAATTTTTATTTTTTGACAGCGTTTGGTGTCCCTGACTGATGAAAGGGAAATGTTCAGCTGTCTGACTTGGATGTTCGTCCTGCTCTGCAGCTCTATTGCAGGTATGTTGGTTATTAGCACCCGCCTTGCCATAAGAAAACTTTATGAAACTTGACGTTCTCCAATTTTGAAGAGTTCTGAAAATGCAAAAAGATATTTTAAAAGCAGAAGTTAGTTGATGACTAAGTAGTGACTAATTTGTGGCACTCTTGATGTCCTCTTGTGAAATGTTAATTGTGATCATGACAGCCTGCATTTGTTTTCTTTTGTATTTAAAGTATTGGGAAAAAAAAGTATTTTAAAACTTACTTTGTTAACTGCTTCCTGTTGCAAAGGATATAGAAGGAGAATCTGCATCTGGAAGTCATATCATAGTTCAGTGTTGGGTTATAAAGGCTGGTCACTTTGGAGATCTGCTCGTGGAACAAATTAATGTTTAAGTAACACATGAACACTTTAAAGGCACTTAGTATTTGCTTGTTTTGGACTGTTTTAAGTCAAATATTACCTGTTCATAGATTCATGCAATGTACCAATGTTCTCATTCCTAATTTTAAAGTCACTTAACAATGTGTGACTACTGATTCTCTGTTCAAAGTTTTCTTTTAATGTAGTAGTTCCGCAGCTAGTAACAGCACAGGTAACTGCTGAAGTTGGAAGAGCAGATAGTTCTGCACTCCTTCCACCTTCATCTGCCTCCTCTTCTACTGGAGTGCAGGTTTGTGTGGCCACTTGTGAAGTGGTGAGATATTTGGCCTGGATGGAGGATGATATTATTTTTTTCCAAACTTTATTTTTTCATCTGTATCAGTTTTCTTTCGATTCACTACACAGGCACTTCTACCGTGCAAAAGGGGATAGCAGCAGTGAATGAGCGTTTGAGGGTTAAAAATGCTTCTTGTGACAACAGTGCCACTTCGAAGTGGTAAAGTTGAACAGTATAGGTTAGAATAGGACATCGCAGGGACAGACTGAAGTAGTGACTCTCTAATAATAATTGAAAGTTCATATATGTGCAGTTTGTCACATACCAATTAACACACAACAGTAATTTATTTTATAATGGTATTTCTGTCTTAAATTGTTTGGGGATTACATAGAAGAGGGTTGTGTATGTTTGCAGAAGCTTGATCAATATGAAACAGTGCAAGTAATTGCTTGCAGCTAATATGCAGTAAAATTTATGCAGTAGAGTGTAACATAGCCATTAGCTTGACTCTGAAACATGAAGAAATTACTCTGAAACAAAAGGGATACAAAAAGAAATAGAGCAATTTATGGTTAATACACTCAAAAAGGAGAGAATTACCGGTAAATCACGGAGAAAGTTTAGTATTTGATTCCTTGTCATTCCTACATGCTAGCAAAGAAATGCTGTCTGTAAAAGCTGGCATGTTTTCAGTTTTATTTAACAGATTTATGTATGAAATTTTGCTTCAAGAAATAAGTAGCAGCAAAAAAATATAAACACGTATCTCCTTGCAGGACTCTAATGGGTGATTCATGCACTGTTTAATAACTTTGATATAGGATAATATTTGATAGTACATATTTGACATTAGCTGTTAAAAATTAAATAATAGTTTATAGAAAAAGCTTCAGAACTTTTACTGTCTTCATCAATGACGTAGACGGATTGACTGCACCCTCAGCAAATTCTCAGATGACACCAGCTGACACACCTGAAAGACAGGTTACCATCCAGAGGGACCTGGACAAGCTGGAGAAGTGGGCCCATGTGAACCTCATGAGGTTCAACAGGGCCAAGTGCAAGGTCCTGCACTGGGTCGGAACAATCCTCGTTATCAATACAGACTGGGGGATGATGTGCTAGAGAGCAGCCCTGAGGAAAAGGACTTGGGGTTACTGGTGGATGAAAAGCTGGGCTTGAGCCAGCAATGTCTGCTTGCAGCCCGGAAAGCCAACTGTATCCTGGGCTGTGTGAGGAGAAGCGTGGCCAGCAGATGGAGAGAGGTGATTCTGCCCCTCTGCTCTGCTCTGATGTGACCCCACCTGGAGTACTGTGTCCAGCTTTGGAGAGCTCAGCACCAGACAGGCATGGACCTGTTGGAGCATGTCCAGAGGAGGGCCATAAAGATGATCAGGAGTCTGGAGCTTCTCCCCTATGAGGACAGGCTATGAGAACTGGGGTTGTTCAGCCTTTCAATACTATAAAGAACAGTGCAGTGACTTGCTCACTCCTAGCCCCTTGTTTCTGGGATGGGGAGGAGAAAATGTAACAAAGGCTTGAGGGCTGAAATTAAGGACAGGAAGAGCTCACTCACCACTTAGGGTCATGGGCAAAAACTGGAGTAGACCTGAGGAGAAAACAATTTAATCTAATCAACAAAACCATGACCAGTTTACTAATCACAGAGTAGAATAGGGAGAAAATAAATACAACCAGATCTTAAATACACCTTCCCCCACCCCTCCCTTCTTCCTAGACTCAGCTCTGCTTCCCATTCTTTACCTGGTCCCTGCTGGTGGTGCAAGAGGGTAGGGGATAGGGGCTGTGGCATGTCCCTTATGCCCTGTCCATGATCCTCCTTGCTCTTCGATGAGAGGATTTCTTGCAGTCTTCCTCTGCTCCAGTCTGGTGGCCCTCTCACGGGAGATAGGCCTCTTCGAACTTCTTCAACTTGAGTCCTTCCCACATGGTCATGGTTCTTCCTGAACTGCTCCGGCACGGGTCCCTCCTGCAGGCTGCAATCGTCCCGGTGATGGACTGCTGCTGCACAGGCTTCCCCTGGAGTCATGGCATGCTCTGGGTGTTTCTGTGCTCCAGTGTGGGGTCCTCCGCAGGCTACAAACTGGATATTGCACACCATTAATCTCCCATGGCTGCCATCTCACCAGAAGCCTCAGCAAAATCTGTTCCAGTGCATTTCTCCCCTTCCTTCCTCACCAACCTGAGTTACTGCATGGTTGCCCCTGTCACCTCCTCCTCCTCTCCAAAACAAAGAACTCCTCAACACAGAAGAGCTTGCCAACAGGCTTTTCCCCTGTTAAATATGTTGATCACAGAGATGGTGATTGGCCTGGCCTTGGCCAGAGGTGGGCTGGACTTTTACCTGGGGAAGGCTCTGGAAATTTCTCACAGGAGCCACCTCTGTGGCCCCTGCCACTACTAAAAAACCTGTCAGACACAAACCCAACACAAATACTTAAAGGCTAATAAGGACTTTTTGATAGGGCCTGTAGGGATAGGACAATAAGTAATGGTGTTAAACTAAAAGAGGGTAGATTCAAACTAGATGTAAGGAAGAAATTTTTTTGTGTTGTGGGTGGTGAAACACTGGAACAGATTGCCTGGAGAGGTAGTAGAAGCTCTGTCCCTGGAAACAGTCAGGGTTGGGTTGGCCGGGGCTCTGAGCAGCCTGGTCTAGTAGATGTCCCTGCTCATTGTAGAGGTGTTGGACCAGGTGACCTTGAAAGGTCTCTTCCAACCCAAACCAGTCCATGATTCTAGGACTTGTTGATGAATTAATTCACTCATTCAGCCTGCTTCTGTGTTTGCCTTGTACATGCATTTTGTATACAACTCCCGCACTATATCTGGGACTATAAATTCTGTGAGCAATGAAAGTGCTAATGAGAACTGAAATATATTGCAGCTTAACTGTAAATTTTAAACTTAGCAGTTTGATTTATTTTCTGATATGTTAATTACTAATTTTAACATCCAAATGTATGCATACCTTTTACACACAGGATTGTTTTTTAAAAGCAGATTTAAAAGACCTGAGTCTCTCTTTTTTGTTTTAAGCTATTTGGAAAGATTTGTGTTAGAATTTCTCCATTATTTCTGGGAATGTACGTTCTTATATGATACCCATGGTAACAGATATGAGTTTCCAAACAACAATATCTGATTCAAGTAAGTAATTGAGCATTTCATTTGAACTCCTTAGGAAATAAAAAACTAATTAAGTGATCTATAGACAATATTAATTTATCATCTTTCCACTGATCTTTGAAGAGAAATTGGATAATGTGATATCTTTGATTTTTTTTTTAGATGAGAACTTTATCAGAGATGCTGACATTTTTCCTTCATCTCCTGAAATTGAAAGAGGATCCACCTTGAAACTATTTTGTGTTCTTGGAAAACACTACACACCTCAGAGAAATGCAAGCCACATCATCTGGAAGTTGAATCATGAATTGATTGCTCAGGAAGACTATAACATTGTGAATGAGACTGTGTCTAGTATAACCATCCATAATTTCACCTACAGCAAAGCTCATGTGAAATGTTTCACTAAGTACTTCGGCAAGGAACAACTTTTGGTTCACACTGAAGTGAAATCTGGCTGTAAGTAGAAATGATGCCAGTATTCAAGTATTCCATTTTTTTCCTGAAGTCATGAAATTGCAGACGTTCCTTTCTGATGCTGGTCTGTAACCTCTCTGACCATGACTTTTGGCCATTGAAGTGAATGTACGTTTTCTGTTGACTTCAGAGATTACTGGGTCTGTCCCTTTGGTTATGTCTTTTGTCTAGCTTAGCCAACTTTAATTTTCTCCAGGAATTTCCTCTCTAATCCTCTGTTCCAAAGAAATTATAATTACAGTCTGTTATGAACAAAGTAGCAGGATAAATATGTGTACAAATTATTTTGTTTGTTGAGCAGATTAAGTCCAGATTATACCAAGGTATGCCTGGGGGTCTCATTCTAGTAAAGAAGCAACAAATGCGGAAAAATACATCTGTAGAGTAAAAAACCAGGTGTTCCCTGTCTGCAAAGTTTCGTGTATGATAAGCTTGTCAATGTAAGAAAGATCTTCTGGGTGTTACATTAAGTGGGACAGAACAGTACTATTTTGGAGAGAGGACTTTTTTACCTAGTTTATTTTACTGAGTGCAGTTCTTTCAACTCCAGTTTCTTCTATTGAGTGAAGAAGTCTGGCTTTAACAAGGAAGTCTTTGAGGGTGTTACATTTTTATGGCTCACTTCAGACTATAGAGATTGCAGAGGGTTGCTTCCTCTGTCCTCTCTTTCTTCTAAGATAGAGTCCAGAATTAGTGATCTTTCCAGGGTCACAGAGATATGTTTCCCAGGATCTTGTCTTTTGCAACTCTGAGGTCATGCAGGTTAGGAGTTTTCACAGGGTATGTGGTTAGACATTGTGGGAAGGAACTAAGAGGAATTTTATCTTTCAGAGAATGCCTTTTCCTGAACTTTAGGGTTGTTTGTTTGTTTTCCTCTTACTCTCTGGACTAGCCTTGAGCTACAGCTGTGCTGCAGGGGGCTATACTTAGATGTTCAGGACACTGAACCTTGATATGAGATAGTTAATGAGTTACTGCAAACAAAAGCTTCATGCACACTTAGTTAAGTACTTCTGAGAAGTAGTTGGAGAAAATATTCTTCTCTACCCAGAGGAAGAAAGAGGGGCTTTGATTTTGGGTTTATGAGGAATTTTGAGGGCAATAAGAAATTATAAAATTAAGTGCTGTGCAAGACACTTAGTGAAATTTGCCATAATCTGCTCTTTGACCAATAAAATGAGTTGTACGTTAAAGTTACTTACTTTCACTGGACTTAATTTTTTTTTTAAACCCTTGTCATTGTAGTTCCACCGGACACACCAGGAAATATTTCCTGCATTTATTACTATAATTCTAAGCTTACCTGCACTTGGACTTCAGGAAGAGAAACAAATCTCATGACAAACTATACTCTTTACCGAAAAGTGTAAGTATAGGATATATTAGGAGCTGGGTTGCTGGTGTAGGGCCACCAGCTCCCTTCCCCTCATATCCTGACTTCTCTTTAAAGAAAACCTGGTGACATCATGGGCTTCAGAGTCATGGCATTTCATCAGTAAATTCAATTAATTTGGGGTTGGTAACAGTTGAAAAATGTTAACGGTGCTACAGGCTTGGGATGGAGTGGCTGGAAAGCTGCTCAGCGGAGAGGGACCTGGGGGTGTTGGTTGATGTGATCCAGCAGTATGCCCAGGTGGCCAAGAAGGCCAGGAATAGTGTGGCCAGCAGGAGTAGGGAAGTAATTGTCCCCCCATACTTGACAATGGTGAGGCCTCCCCTGGAGTACTGTGTTCAGTTTTGGGCCCCTTACTCCAAAAAACACATTGAAGTGCTGGAGCGTGTCTAGAGAAGGGCAATGAAGCAGCACAGGTCTTATGAGGAGCAGCTAAGAGAACTGGGATTGTTTTGCCTGGAGAAAAAGAGGCTGGGGGGAGACCTTGACACTCTTCATAACTACCTTAAAGGAGGTTGTCAAGAGATGAGGTTCAGTCTGTTCAACCAAATAACAAGTGATAAGGCAAATGGCCTCAGGTTGAGCCAAGGGATATTTAGATTTAGATTAGATTAGTTTAGATTGGATATTAGGAAGAATTTGTGTACTGAAGGGGTTATGAGGCACTGGAATGCATTGCCCAGGGCAATGGTGGAGTCCCCATCCGTGGAGGTGCTTAAGACTCCTGTAGACATAGTGCTTAGGGACATGGCTTAGTTGAGCACTTGTCAGCATTAGGTTAATGACTGGACTTAAAGGTCTTTTCCAATGTAGGCGATTCTGTGATATATTTTCAATACACTTTATAAAGGAAATGAACATTCTAAACCCACTATTTAGTAGACCAGTGTTTACTTCAGAATTGATATTCACTGGTTTCCTTGCAGTAGCATTACTAACTCAGTCAAAAGGTGAGTGAGCCTAGGTACAGATGGAGGAGGACAGAGGCATTCTGTGGGAGTGTTACCCAGAAACTAGCTATCCTTGTTTTGGATGGGTAAACAAGATTACTTCCTCTTCTACTTTAAACAGTTCACAGTTATAAGTATTAAACTCCCTATTACTCTGTTTGTTACAAATATCATTTAACTTAGACGCCTTTGGAGGCACCGAGTTTTGGAGAAAGAATCCAGAGTTATTTGTCTTTTTGGTCACTCACATCTGGAAATTTGTATTTACAAACACAGATTATGTAGACTTATGCTCCTAATACTTGATTGTTTCAATTTCTGTTAAATTTTAAATATTGTTCAGGAGCTGAATTTTTCATAAGTTCCTGTGAAAATGGAATGTTCCATTGAAAATGGAATGTTCAGTATGTTCCAAGGCAGATCTCAGGTAGAATTTTGAAGGTGATAGTGCAGATTTTGTTCCAAATATAATTATCAATGTGTACTTTATAGTAGTCCTGCCTAATCAAGACTTTAGATAATATGATTTCGTGAAGAGTTTTGTAAAATATCTAAAATTATTCTGGAGAACTGGAAAGAATTCAGACTCTGAAGGAGATATTTTCTTATTGTAAGTTTTGCTAGTGTATGGTATATTTTTTGTTAAAATATCAGGCAAGTAAACATCTTCAGTTCTATCTCCATTTTAGGCTTGATATTTTAGGCTTCTATCTTCCTTAGGTGAAACTTTCTTGCTCCTTCCAGTGTTGCTACATTTTATAACTTGGTTGAGTTAATGAATCAAAACCTAGAACAGCTGTTTAAAGTTAAGTTTCAATATTGCTCCTTCTTGTACCAGCACAAATTCTTCTTTAACCACACAGTGAATTGGATTGCAAAACTATTTCCAATGAAATCTAACCATTAGTTTAAATCCAGATAACTCCTCAGCTGAGTTTACTGCATGACTAGAAAAGCACTGGTACAAGCTCTCCAAGAGGACGGAGAGCTGTGGACGGAAACAAACAGCCATGCATATTAGGGAAGGTAGGACTGCTTTTCACAGCAGTGCAGGCTTACACTAGCTTAAAAATGCATATGAAATACAAGCTTCAGACTGTTTTTTGAGTTATACAATTGATCTGCTTGCTTACTGCATTGTATGAAATATTTAACACAGGCCCAACACATGAGTTTCTATTTATTGAAGAATTTCTCTGTGGGTTGGTAAAATTAAACTAATTTTGTTAGTTTAGCATCCCACACTACTTATTATGAAAGTATATGCTGTAAAGACTGCATATTATCAGTGTGTTCTTTCAGGAAAATCTGTCAAATTTCTGTTATCTTGTAACAGCCTGGGAGCGGTACAATTTGATTTTTTTATCTATTTAAAAGATGAGTAGAAGCTCATCATCACAGTAGTTGCATGTGTGACTAGCTGTATCTGTCTACACTTTTAAAGGAGGCCTGGTGTGGAGTTACGTGATACTTCTCTTTGGGATTTTTATCTAAAATAATAATAGCATTTGAACTGTCCATTAAGGCATTTTTACTCTTCATTACTACTCCTGGAAAGTTATCTCACTAGTTGCAGTTAAAACTAATTGAATCTGTGCAGACTATTTATATGCATTTGCAGGAGCAGTGCAATTAGGAAAGAGCATTCATTTGCAAAAACTAAGGCAACATTCACTGGTCAAAATATCCTGCAACCTCGGAACCATACAAATAATAACTAAATAGTAACCCAACAATCATTTTGAGTTATTCTAAGAAAGTCCTCTAATTTCTAACTCCTTTTTTTCCCCCCTGTTTTTTAGGGTGCCAGAAGGAAGGGAAACACCTCCATATACATTGAGCTCCTGCCAGAGCAAAACAGAGTTATGTTCATTTTATTTTCCAGATACTTCGTATAGTAGTTCCTTTTGTTTTCAGGTGAAAGCTGAAAATGTTTTGGGTGAAGCCTCATCAGATTGTGTTCTTATACCTATGGGAGAAATAGGTAATTAAAAGAAAGAGTTAAATAAAGCTAAAGCAGTGTATGTTGAGCTGACTGCAACCTCCCTAATTCTTCTTTCCTCCCTATAGCAAACGTGTCAGATGTCATTTGGTTTTAAATTGCTTTCTGTTTCCAGAGGTCGTCTGATTTTAATTGTTTGCTGAAATGATAAAGTCTAAAGGTTTAATAAAATGTTTCATCTCTCCCATTTTTTTATCAAATTCTGGATGCTTCCAATCTACTTTTAATTGATGGCCTTTCCATGTAACATTCTTGGAACTGGTTGGTGATATAGCAGCAGTTTTCAGCAATTTCTTGGTGTTACCATGAGGTGGTGAAAAATGATATTGTGCTGTATTCATACTAGGAAATGTCTACAACAATATTTTTTTAGGCTCGTGTCTGATGTATGCATTATAAATTACTAAGTTTTTAATGACTGACAAGGCATACTAAAACTTCTTATCAAACTAAGTGGTACTTGGACTGTACTTTTGTATTTTTGAGTGATGCTAGATATCAGTGCAATATCTAGCTGTAAATGAATAGGAGGATTATAATTTCTCCAGGTCTGCCCATCATTTACCCTGCTATTCTACTTTCTGGTTGGGAATGTTAAAACCCCACCAGTGCTGTGATTTCCTGGAGCAATAATACTATTTTTGTCTTTCTCTTCTCCCTCTGCACTGTGCTGCATTTGCATTTTGGTGTAGTTAATCAACAGTGCTTTTAACTGAGTATTTTTGCTGCAGCACTCTGTCAGCCAAAAATTGCTTTACTGCTTGCATCCAGACCTGCTGTGGCTCTTCATTACTTTCCGCATCCTCTGTACCAGCCATCTCTTTTCTCAGTGCTAATCCTTTATTTTCCTATCATCTCCTTCACACTTCTCTCCCCCTCAAATCCTTTTCAAGTGAATTCTTAACTCATCTTGACTTTGGCATCCCAGCTTTGCTTTGTTTCTTTTCTGCCTGTTGTCTCAGAGTAGTATTCTTCAGTGCTGGTACAGATGAAAGAAATCTGCACATCTGTTTGAGAGCAGATTTGTCAGCATCAGATCAGTTATGTGTGCAATCTGTCTTATCGATGACTTTCCACATGTAGAGTTATGTCTATAAAATAGACCGTCATTTGAATGCTCTGATAGGATGTACATTATTTGGATAATAACTAAAACTTCTTGGAACGTAAATAGATGAAGAAATTATGAGCTTTCATAGAAGCATTTTCCACAGTTAATGTTTCTGTTTCTCTGTTTTAGAGAAATTTGAACCTCCTGAAATACTTTCAGTTAAAAAAATCACTGGTATAAATCGGTTGCTTACAGTAGTGTGGAAAATGCCTGAGAAGATTATCCCTTCCCAGAATTTAACTTGTGAGATTCAGTACGGAAGCTTGTATTCAAACTCTTCGGTAAGCTACATGAATTTTCTTCAGAATGTTAACTTCTTTGTGGTTAATTTCTTAATGTTATAAAAGGCTAAATAGAAAACCAGCAACAAATAGTTAGAAATAATGATTAAAACATTATTTTAGAGGAGTGTGATTAGGTATTCATTGTCTTAAGATCATTATTTTGTTGTCTAGGCTTAATTGTTCTCCTACTTATGGTCAATGTCTGGTTTGGTACATACTGTATTTCTAAACATATTTTTGTGAAAGGCTAAGCTTGATATTAAGCTAAGGGATTACACAATCAAAATATTTTATTTTCCTTTTGAATTCTGGTGTTGAAAACAGCATCTACTCCCAACCACAGTAGCTGAATCATGTTAAGTTGGAATAGTGATGTATTAAATTTCAAATAAATTAGAAACTAAATTTTGCAAGATGGAAAATAAGTTTTTTTTCTGAGTTTGTCTTTCTGACACTTATATGGAACTGTTAAAAGAAAAAACCCAGTGTTTAATAATTTACTTCTTTCACATGGCATATTTCAGTTCTTCTCAGCATTGAAGTGATTCTGTCTGTAGTCTTCCTGTTCTGTTTTAAGAAGGGGTTAGATTGCTTGGCTTTTTTTTTTTTTATGTTCATCAGACTGAGATATCAGCCTTGACCTTATGGTTTTATACATTAATATATAAACCTGGGAGAGAAGAATTCTTCAGGGTAACTAATAGTACTCCTTAGAGCTTTTGTTTCTGTTATTAAAGATATTTCTAATTAGCATGCTCCTCACATTCTCATGGCAAGCATCTTTACTATAAATATGCCATATTAGCTGTTGGATTCAGGATAAAATATTTGGGGTGATGTGATGGCAGGATAACTAAGGTTCACCTAGGATATTAGAAACTGAACTAATATGTATGTTAAAAACCTGTTCAAGATGTTTATCCTTTTGGAGTCAAGACATGAGCATATGGGATCCTTCCCAAATGTTGAAAACGTTCATGTTTTTGCATTACGATTACAGCATTATTGTCTGTGATGTCTATTTGTCAGCACCTGCATGAGAAATCACCTGCCTACTATTATGAAATATGTCCATTTTCTTCCTCAGAGCTTACCTGCATTTTTTCCACATGCATTCTATAGAAAGAGTAATAGCTGTGATCAGTAAATTAAAAAATCCAGCAGCAATGGCCAGGAAAGATAGCCTCAAACCACCATTTAGGTATAGGAACTGTTTTTCTATCTGACAACACATATATGCCAAAAAAAATTATTTGAGCAAATGACAGATATTTTCTTGACCTTCTAAGCCTTACTACCAAAACAATCTAAATAGTTTGCTACAAACTGTTTTTGCTGAGTGAAAAAACAAATGACTATTTTCCTACTTGCATATACTAAGTTTCTAATTATAATTAAATATTATTTAACAGCCTTTTGGCAAGGAACTAAAAGTCTGGTGTTTCTGCAATTCCATGTCAGATTCTGCAGGAGATTAATAGAAGTTTTGAGGCCCTTGTTGTTTCAAAGTGGCTAAAGTCTGTCACGTACCAGTGTTTTGTAGACCGCTGCATTCATTCTCATTGAATCAGTTTTCTATTGTTTACAATGAGTTTCTTGAGATCAGAACAGACCAAATTTTTCACTTTCATTAGGCAATGCACTTCCCACTATGATGTTCAAAGGAGTGAGTGTCTGAATTCTGTATTGTTATAGTTTGATTCACTTTTCATTGGAATGTTCAACTCCTGGAAGAGAAGAATTTTTTCATGGATTTTTGACCCTGTTGTTATAACCATGTTTTGCTACTTCAGTTTGGCTCTCAGGAGGGAATCTTCCTTATTCTAAAACTTACCTTTGCTGACCTTGTATACAATTCAACTCGCTTGAGCATTTATTTCAACATCTTTCTTTTTTAGTGGTCTAAAATTTGAGAGAAGGAAAGTTGTTTGTTACTGATTAGTTTTTGCTGTTTGGAAGAGAAGACATTAGTGTTGTTGTAGTGATGAATTAAATCTTTCTGTGTCAGTCTAGTTGAGTAGATGCATCAACTACAGCTTTCATCTCTTCTTTCACCTTTTGTTTTGGAATAATAATCTAGCTTCTGACTTCCATCAGTAAGATGTCAGTGGGCTCCTTTTAAGATGAGGAGATTACCCACCTTGTCATTACTTTTCCAGGAAGGAACTGAGTCAGTTATTTCTCGTAATCTTGTCTTCCCTTGCCACTCAAAGACTTCATCTTCTTTTCCTCTCTTGGTACCAAACTCTTCTGTGTTTTCATTGGTCTTTTAATTTTAATCATATGCTGATAATCTTTGGTATGGCTTACAGCCGCACTCCTATATAGCTAATTGCTGGAAGATCCTGTAACTCAGAAAGAAAAACTGAGAAAAGAAACAAGTACCCAGCTGGCTCACAAGCTGCAGGTGATCACTGCTTCCCGAGGGATGCTTCTGCTGTGAGGCGGAGCTGTATCCAGGACATTATGGTGACACTGGCCTTAGCAATACAAATTGCTTCCAGCCAGAGGGACCTGTAGTCATCCAGCACCTCCTGGGCCAGTACAGCTGCTCTCAGGTCATGTGTGAGCTGCACACACTTCAAGCCACAGGTCGGTCAGTACAGACCTGGGTTTGGCTTAAATTTTTTAAACCTTGGAGTTTTACAAACCTTGGAGTTTTACAGGAAGAATAAAGATGCCACACAGAAAAAACTAAATATGAAACAAGTAAATTTGAGTTTTGGATGAGTGAGTGAGGTGGGAAACATGAAAACTGCATCCTTTTTGTGTTTTTAAAAAACTAAGTGGTATATCTGCATGTGATTTTATAGCAAATAATTTTTGTTCATGTGTCAACTTTCAGAAACTTGTCACTGTCCTACTGAATTCTTCAGAGAAAACAGGATCATGTAATCTCACAGATCTGTGGGACTCCACAGAATATTCAGTTGCCATTCGATGTGCCAACGTTTTGTCAAAATTCTGGAGTGAATGGAGTAGAAGGAAAACGGCAAGCACAGAAGAGAAAGGTTGGGTAGCTTTAGGTTATACTTTGGGGCATTAGAATTTAATAGCGGAAAATTGTATTTTCAGCATATTATCAGTCTATTTAACATAAAATTATGTTGTTTAAACAGAACTTGTGTATATTGTTTAAATATAGAAGAAGGAAAACAGAAAGGCAAGAGCAAAGAGTAGAGGAGATTTGAAAGGTGATACAAACAACATAGGGCTAATTAAAAAATGAGTAAGCAGACGGAAGAGAGGAGAGGAAAAATTAAAAGTGCAGATGGAGATGGAACATTGCCCAGTAGGATAGTAGCAGAAATGTAGTGTAGCAATATGTCCAATAAAGGGAATTAGAAGTAGAGAAATGAAATTGCCAGCCATAAAACAAGACTAGAAAATCTCTGGAGTTTAACAAATGAAAGAAAGCTGAAGGAAACTCACAGAAAGAGAGAAACTCTACTTACTATGGAAAAAGGCACAGCATTACACAAGGGAAAACTTGTTTTTAATAAGTTGCTCTCAGACTATATTTCTGAAACCTTTTGATTAGTTTTACCATATTATACTATCTTTTTGATATAATTTCAAGATATTTTTCTGTCTTTAAATAGCTCCTTCAGAAAAAGTGGATTTGTGGAGGGTAATTGAGCCTTCACATTCAGCTGGAAATAGATCTGCACATCTTCTATGGAAGGTATATACTTTTTCTGTGAATTGATAGCTACTGGTGTTCTGCAGCTGATGTTGTGTTGAAGTGTTTTAGTGTTGTAGGACATAACTGCTAGAGAGTTTTGCTGTCATCAGGAAAAAACCTCACTGTACTAAAGAGAATTGAAAAGGCTTTTGTTTATTGAATGGCAGATGAATAGAGTTTTGTAATATGTGCAGAAAGGAAGGGTTTAATTGTGTTCAAATCTGATTTTTTAATGACTGAAAATCCTTACACCTGCTCTTAAGTAGTATGGCTTACCAAAGCTGTGTTTAAATGCACATTAATCTTCTAGTAGAGTTACCAGAGGCTCTTTGTGTTTCAAATCTCAGTATTTTGAATCTGTCCTTCAATAAAATTATTGCAGCTGGCTGTCTTGAAAATGGGACTGAAGGAAGTACCTTGCTTTTCTAAATACAGTACGATAATTTTGTAATTTGATCTGGACTCTTTAATACAGTATCTACTTTTGATTATACAATTAACACTGTGAAACACTTACTACTGCCTATTTTTTTAATAGACGTTAAGCAGCTTTCCACCTTCTGGGAGAATTCTAGGCTACAAAATACAGTATTTTCCAGAAAATAATGCTGCACTTGAAATGACAAACATCACTGCTGATCAGAAGATTACTTTACCTTTAAATGAAGAGGCATATATAGTATCTATTACTGCCTATAACTCTGCTGGAAATTCTCCTGGAGCTACTTTGAGGATTCCATCCACTAATGAAAAAAGTAAGATTTCTCAATGTTGTGATTTGCTTTTGTCATTAACTGAAGAATGATCTTCTGTCATCTGTTTAAATTCTGTTGTAATGAAAGCAAAATTGCACTGAGGATTTCTGTCATAGATCTGTATATATAGAATGGTATTATGTATTTGTGGTTTGCAACTCTTTACTAGAACAATATTATCTGGTGGTCATATTTTCATATCACATTTCTGTTAGATTATTGTCGGGGCTTTTGTTTTCAGATACAGTTAGTAAGATATCAGCACTTTCTCATTTCGTATTACAATTTCTATTTTATTACTTTCTTGGTTTTTTGTTTTTTGGGTTTTTTTCCTAAACCTCACAAGTAAATTTATGGAGTCCCACCCAATTCTGTCTTGTCCCTCTACTAGGTCATAAAAATAGTTACCTCAGGGCATTCTTGCAGTGTTTAATAGACACATTTAACAGGAGTCCCTAAGAAATGCAAATGGAAGTGTTAATTCTTATTTCACATGCATTCCCAAAGCATCCCATCCTACCCACTGCCAAAGTCAGGAAGCTGTTCTGCTCTAGCACAACCGTTGTGTTCTTTGGCTCTGATGTTTAATGTGGAGAGCTCTGTTGTATTGCAACATCCCACTGCCTACTCATAATCTGGAAGAGAAGTTCCATTTGACACACTTGAGTCACTCGTCCTACATCAGTTGTTTATGCAATAACAGCAAGTGTCCCTCTGGAATTAACCAACTGATCAATCTTCAGTTCTCATCAGAAAACTGGATAAGTAGACATGATGTCATCTCATCCTCAAGGTTGCTGACTACTTCTCCATCCACATCTCTATCACACAATAAATGTTTTTCTGATTTTTCTATGCTGGCTCATGTTCAGCTGGCTGTCCACCAACACCCCCAGGTCCCTCTCTGCTTGGCAGCTCCCCAGCCACTCCTCCCCAAGCCTGTATCACTGCGGGGGTTGTTGTGGCCAAAGTGCAGGACCTGGGATTTGGCCTTACTAAAACTCCTGGAACTGGCCTTGGCCCAGCGATCCAGCCTGTCTAGATCCCTCTGTAGAGCCTCCCTACCCTCAAGGAGATCAATGCCTCCACCCAGCTTGGTATTGTCTGCAAACTTACTGAGAGTGCACTCTGTCCCCTCATCCAAATCATTGATGAAAATGTTAAACAGGCCCCAGTCCTGAGCTTTGGGGGCACCACTTGTGACTGGCAACGAACTTAAGTCCATTGATCACAACTCTCTGGACTCCGCCCTCCAACCCAGTTTTTCACTCAGCAAATGCCCATCCAAGACAGGAGCAGTCAATTTCTCTAGGAGAATGCTGTGGGTAGCAGCGTCCACAGCCTATGATTTATTGTTTTCCTATTACCTTTGTAATCTCAATCAAAATTTGTTTACTTGCATTACCTGTAAAATTGGTAGTAAATTGGTTTGTAAAATTTTCCAAACTGTAAAATTTAGATCCTAGAAGAGAGACTGGTCTTTGCTTCTCTATATTTAAATCTCCTTGAGTATCATCTCCTCAATCTGCCCCCACTTTTTCATTGTAACGATTCATATACCCTTTATATTTAAGTATTTTGAGTATATGCATGTAAACAAAGGTATAAATTATGGTTTTAATATTGAGCAAGTCCCATAATCTTCTAAGGAAGCAATCTCAGTTTGCTGTAATTGAATTATTTTCTTTCTGCATTTCTTATGAAGATGGAACTGCTGACATTTTCTGTTAATTTTTCAGCTTTGCAAATTATTGAAACAATGAGGACCTTTACAACAAATGAAGAAGTTATCGTGGAATGGATACCCTCTGAAACAAAAGTATCTGAATATGTAGTTGAGTGGTATGAGGAGTTGGGGACAGATCCTTTTAGTAGATCGTGGCAGTATGTGTCAAACTCTACAAACTGGAAAATTAACAAAAGTATGATAATTTATCTGTTACAGCTGTACATATGTATGTATTTATTATGGTTATTTGTAATAAATGTGATATAAAACAAGGGCGAACTCATCCAGCTTTCTTCAGACCGTTTAAAAAATAACAATATTATCACATGCTTTATTGGAAGAGATTAGACTACTGGTTTCATGTTTAAGCAGTTCCGTGGTTGATCTTATGCCATGACTCTTTCCGTAGGGAGGCCTATGATAGATGTACACTGTTGTAGCAGAGAAATATGGAACTGAAAAAATGTATTTGAAGATGGGAAAAGATTATGTGCCTTCATGTGTGTTAGAGAGCAAGAAACCTGAAAGAGCATTTGAGGGAAAATTCTACTTGGAAATAAGCAAGTGAAGTGATTGCTCAATCTGGCATGTTAAATATCATATAGTCACAATTGTATTTTGACAGAAGGTATTACTCTGTGTTCAGCACTCAAGAGACAGTGCAAAGGCAAAACTGTGAATAATGATGTTGATGTGAATAGTGCATGACTTTACCTTTAGCTGATGAAATGCATCTGCTTTTCCTTGTACATGTTGGGTTTTGGGTTTTTTTTAAAAATACAGCAATAACGGTGGAAAATTTTAATGTGACACATGTAAAACATGTGATAAGTCAGTTTTGGGTTATTAGTTCTTTGGTTAGGGAAAATAATGATCAAAATGTTTAGTCTAATATATGGAATACGTGTGTTGTCAGTTTTGGATTGTTAGTTCTTCCTTAGTGAAATTAAATATATCAAATCTGAAAGTGGTTCTTACTGATAAAAGGATGAATTCTACGTCAAGGAAAAGGAATTTTCTAAGTTTTCAGAAAACAAGTACCCTGCATTTTCTAAAGTGAAGAGGAACACTCGGTTTGTTAATTATGAGTATAGCTAGCTTGCCCATGAAATTTGTCTTACTGGTTCAGACAAGGATGATTTAAATACTGTTTCTGCACTACAGTAAAACGAATTAAACCAAAATCTGCTTGAAGTAAAATTCAAGAGCAGTTTATTACACATTGAACTGAGGTGGGTGAATTTCGAGTCTTATGCTGAAAATTGCACTATTTCAGCAATCCTCTGTGAGGAACAAATGCTATTTATAGTTTTTCTCAATATAGAAAACCCCCTAGCTTTTCTCCTCAGCATTATTAAGAGGTCTTTGTTTAACTCAAGCACAAGTCACATTAGAAATGACAAGGCAAAGTCAGACTTACTGTTATGCAGGCCTGTTTCCGACATTCTTCTGTGGAATTATTTTAAGGATTTCATAACTTTCCTGGGTGGCAGCAGATTTAGGGGACTGAAAAAGCAGTGGGGAGTTGATGTAATTCAAGGATCTGTCGATCGCCATTATTCTTGCTGAACAAGGTGCAGAGCTTGAGGAGGAACGGTTTAGGAAACCCTTTATACTGGTTTTGCCCCACGGGGTATAAAGCCACACATGTGTCTTCTCAGAGCTGATGAGAGCTGCTTGTGAGTAGGAGGTGCACCCTGATGATTACTTGGCTGTTGCGATTGTTCAGAGTTCAAACCTTCATTTCCAGAAGCTTGAACTATGTCTTGAAACAATAAAATTCTGCTGGAAAGATTTCACTTGTACTTTTGAGTGAGTCAGGCTGGTTGGAAGCAGATCTGCAGTTGGCATAACGAGAACATCTACATAGAGTTAAGAGCTGTTGCTCCAGAGTTAAGGGCTGTGGCTCCATTGTACCTGTTAAGCTGTTAAATGCATGAATCAAAACTCTCTTCTGCAGAGCAGTAAACCTGAAGTTACATGAGATTAAAAATATTGCTAGAAGTATCATTTTATACTGGTTATTTGAAAATAAAAATCTCCTCCAAACCTAAAACTGTTACAACATGAGTAAGTGACTTCGCACAGAGAAGCTCTATGAGGCTGAAGCATTATTAACCATTCAAAGTATTTCTAGTGAAAAACAAGTTAGAAGCCAAGTGCTCTTTATTGAGTAAAATTCATTATGTTAAGAGTAGTGATGAGCATTTGAGGCCATAAATATCTACTGTACTTGCTAAAAAGTTAAATAAAATAGAGATCTGTAACATTTAGGACTGTGCTGTGATTTCATTGTATGAATCTTACATGGAGTATTGTATGTAAATATTCCTTTTTTTCTTTACAGAAAACTTTAAACCATTTATATGTTATAACATCTCAGTGTATCCTGTCTATGGAAATAAAGTAGGAGCTCCGTATTCCATACAAACTTATGTTCAAGAAAAAAGTAAGTATTTTAAACTAATAATGTTTTGAAAAGTGTGTTGTAGTCTGTGTCTTGGGGTGTGTTATCTTTAAGTAGTTTGGCACTTGCAGAGTTGAAGGAGAGATGAGTTGCTGACAGAAAAATGGGATTTCAGTTTGTAGATCAGCTACCGAATTGTTCAGTAAAGAAAATTTGTTTCTTGTGATACAGGTACATGGCTACTTGAATCCACTCATTTGCTGCAGAGTTTACATACTGTATACAAAACACTTGGAAAGAGTATAGGTACAGGCAGTTTTAAACTAGCTATGTCTTGAATGTTGCAGCTCATTTAGATATATAATTAGACTGGGTTTTAGTGCTTGGCTGCATTTATCAGTCCTAATAAATGAGGAAATTTTACTTATGGAATAAAGTGGATGTTTTAGGAAGTTTAGTTTTTGTTTAATTTTTTAATGTCACAAAATATTTGCATATAAAAATGGTAAGAAAACATGATGTGTGCGATGGGATAGGAACTATATGGATGAAATGGTAGTTTGGGAGTGGGTGAGGAGGAAAGTTTCTTTATTTGTAGAAGTTTAATGTGAATTCAGCGATTTATACAGCCAGCTGTAAGAATGTATTTTACTTGTAATTTTAAAACTTCATGTGAAAATGTCAATTTTTGTGTGTGTGTAAATAAGTCTATGTGCATGCACACATATCACAGTGCACTACTAGACAGGATTAATTACTAGGAAGAGGTAATGGAGTATTTTATATTTGAGTAATACTAGCTCAATTAGAACTTTTTTGAGTGCTTTCTCGTTTATAGGGAGCTGTGACAGTACAAAAGTTTGTCAGAGAATGGGAAGGAAGGCATTTGTTTTAAAACTGAGGCAGAGAAAACTCTTGCTTTGAAGTTACAAGTGATGTATGTGAGGTTGTAATGTGTAAGTGGAAAAAATTTGTCTGATGTAATGGGCAAAGGCTGGCCCTCGTCGAATCTCAGCTCAGCCAGAGACGTCCTGTGTACACAGGGACATTACACCTACCTGAGTTCCAGCACGAATGCACAGGGGTGTTTGACCTCTTGATCTCTCTCTGATGCTGTGAGGATAGAGCCTTCTGATGATCTTGAGGTATTCAGATGCACTAACACTGAGAACTGTGCAAACGCCTGAATAGATGCAAGGATGAATTATCAGAAGAAATTGCGTCTTAAAGAGGGTGAGATAAGTTATAGGCTATATTAGACCACAAAGATGACATATTTACGTTAACATTTTTGCCCCTAATGTTACTGATATGCGTGAAGGCAAACTGGTGGATAACATTGCAGTACTTAGACTATTTTACAGCTTTTTCTAATTTGTAATACTTCTGTGTAGAGCCATCAGAAGGACCTGTGGCTGACACAGGTGTTCCAGGGAAAAATGAAGTTACAGTAAAATGGAAGGAAATTTCAAAGGATAAAAGAAATGGATTTATCTGTAACTACACAATATTTTATAAACCTGAAGATGGAAAAGAATCAAGTAAGTATAAATTAAATACCAATGCTTTCAACAGGATTATGACAGTCTGCTGTCCCAAGATACTTATTTTCAAAGTTTTAGCACAGTTTGTTATTGTATGTTATAAATATGTTTGAAAATACTGGAACAAAAAGGTTAAAAATAATTTAGGCTTAATTGAATCAATGAGTTATTCTTGTGAATGCTCACTGCTTTAATACGACACATGCATTCTTGCTCAGCTTCTTTGCTCTAGATTTATTTTATACAGCACTGCTTTCTCACAATTAATCTGTTTTATGATTAATATTGTACTACCCATGGTAGTACAGCCATGACTGTTGACCACATTGTCCTCTCTGCTTCTCAGATGCAAATCTGATGGATCTTCACTTGATAAATTCAGTCAGTGTATGGCAGCACTCTCAGTCCTCTTTTCTTTCCAGACCAGGATGGAAACTCATCTATGAGAGGCTTTTTGCAGATTGTTCTCTCTTAAGAGTAAAAAATAGCAAATTTGCAGGATTATGCCAAATTAGAGAGTAATATTTGTCAGATACTTGCTATTTTCCCTTTTTATGTACGTACTAGTCTCTTTCTATCTTCAAATTTCTCTTCCATTGTGATGTACCTCTGAAGTCAATGGAAAAAGTCATGACTTTTTTAGTGGAGCTAAAATATCTTGGGGAGTTATCGATGCTGTGCAAATTTATTAATTTGAACCTTGTGGGAATTTAGTGAATTTGTAAATTCCATGCATGTCCTTGAAAGGATGCCTTTCCCAAACGCTTGGCTTCTGGAAGAATATGGTGGAAATTTTCTGGGAAAAATGTCTTCACAGTTATGTTTATAATAAAAGCAAAAGAGCAAATGATAGGCAAAAAGCTAGAATAAGCTGCCAATAAGTGGTTTCTTTTGACATAGCTTTTAGATTAACTTCTTTGAATATGCTTGATTTTCTGTGCTTGCTATTGCTTTTCTGCTTTGGAGACTGATACAACTTTTTGAACATATTCTTCAGAAATAAATGTTTCTCCTCCTTTGTTTTAGACATCATGGTTAGCAGACACCTCACATAATGTTTTTCTAAAAAGATCTCAAACTTGAAAATCATGCTGTTTTCAGTTGCTTCTGGATATCTAGTTTGAAGCCAGGGCAAGAGTATTCTTGGTAATTTTAAAATTAGAAAGAGGAAGCTGCTTATTTCTTTCAGATTGAGTCCTCTGCAGGCAATTTTTCCTCCCGTGTGGTTTCTGAGCAATTTAATAGTGACTGCTTTGTGCAGGGTCATACTCAAGACATGCAGCCTCATGTTATGGAGCCACATATCTCCATATTACTCTTCTAATGTAAAGCAGACTGTGCCCATTTCACTAGTTCTGATTAGTTTCTTTAGGAAATTAGTTTTAAATGGCAACTCAGAGGAGCTAAATTAAATGGCAATACCGTACTGTACTGATGCTTTTTGAGGCTTCTCTGATGTCACATATTTTTTATGAGAATAGAACATAGAGGTGACTTCAGTGATGGCCTTTTAACTCTAGAACTTCACTTTCCCCTCCTTGGTTTAAGAGAAACTCAAGTTTGTTTAATCCCACATCTTATTGCAGCGTATCTATTTCTTAAGTGTTTCTTGATTGAACTGAATGGTGCCCTGAGTTGGCTTTGACTTTAAGCACCAGAAGATGTTATAGTGATTTTAATTTCATAATATGAACATGCTTCTAATACCATTTGTAGACATAGAATGCTGTAATACATGCCCTCCTTAAAAAAGTTGAAAAGTGAAGCACATCATACTAATTACAGTAATGAAAGTATTGAAAACATTGAGTTTTATTTAGAAACCTGTTGGAAATAGGAAAAACTTCCTGTTGATTTTGGCTTTCCTCTGACTTCATTTGGGTGATATCCCAGTGCTGATAAATTGCATCCTTTTGTATGATCAGTGTCTGACTGCATTTACTAGAAATATAGTTAAATTTCAGAAGGTGCAGAGACTATTTTAGGTTCTTAATTCCTGAGCCTACGTTCCAGGAAATTAAGTTCTCAAGGCACTCTTTTCAGTGATAAAATAATCTACAGGAGATCATAATGTGCCTGTCTTTAATATTAGCAAAAAAAAAAGCTCATTTATTTTTAGAAGTAAATACAGGTTTTTTTTCCCCTAAATTTTAAAGTAGCATTGATAAACATTGGTAATTGATAAGGTTGCTTTGTATTTAAATTTGTCTTTTAAATACTTGTAAAATCTTGTAAAAGATGCTAAGTAAGTGTACAATTCCATAATATAACACTATTTTTTTGTGCTTCTGCACATAAATCTCCTAAAAAGATGAAACAGTGAACTCTGATGTTCTGCAATACACACTGAAGTCCTTACAGGCTAATACACAATATACTGTCTATATCATGGCAACTAATGGAGCTGGGGGGACCAGTGGAGAACCGAAAACCTTCAAGACTTTGAAATTCAGTAAGTAACATTGCAGGTTGGCTATTACTGTTTTAAAAACAGGCTTAGGAGTGAGAAGTATAGGACAACCTCAAGTTTAGAAGTCAAACCCCAAAAGCTTTGTTTTGCTGTGGATTATGGTGGATGTTTGTGGGAGCAACAGTTTCTATGCTGTCAATTATGGGATAGGGTGCTGAACAGTTTGTTAAAAAGCAGACATTTCCACCTGAGATACTAGATTTAGAATAGCCATGCATTGTATTGCATTTCTTCTCCTATATTTAACTCATAAACGAGTGGCCAATGTGTGCGTGTAAACATCTTTTCCTATTGCTTACAATTTATTTTAGCCATATTTTACCAAGCACATTGGTATGATGGCTGCTGTAATGGCTGTTCATATACTTAATTTTTACTTCTGGAAGCATGTTTTACATACATACATAAACTGTCAAAAAGGTGGCCAAACTGAAATCTAAAAAAAGTGCATAAGCACTTAAACTTGCTGTGGCTGTGAGACTTGAAGCTACTTTAATTTTTGCTTGTAAATTCCTCTGCTAGTTTGTTAATCAAATGCAAGGTAAGTTAGACTATGCTGAGGCCTGGTCTCTGCTGCTATCAGTACCTGCCTCTGGTAGGTACCTGGAATCATAGAATCACAGAATCATAGAATGTGTTGGGTTGGAAAGGACCTTTAAAGGTCACCTAGTCCAACCCCCCTGCAGTGAGCAGGAGCATCTTTAACCGGATCAGGTTGCTCAGAGTCCCATCAAGCCTGACCTTGAATGTCTCCAGGGATGGGGCCTCCACCACCTCTCTGGGCAACCTGTGCCAGTGTTTCACCATCCTCATAGTGAAGAACTTCTTCCTGATATCTAACCTAAATCTACCTTGCTCTAGTTTAAAACTGGCCCTTGTCCTGCTATTTCACACCGTTGTAAACAGTCTCTCCCCAGCACTCCTATAGGCCCTCTTCAGGTACTGGAAGGCTGCTCTAAGTTGTCCCTGGAGCCTTCTCTATTCCAGGGTGAACAACCCCAACTCTCTCAGCCTATGCTCACAGGAGAGGTGCTCCAGCCCTCTGATCGTTTTTGTGGTCCTCCTCTGGATCTGATCCAACAGGTCCATGTGCTTCTCGTGTTGAGCTCTCCACATCTGGACACAGTGCTCCAGGTGAGGTCTCACCAGAGCAGAGAAGAGGGGCAGAATCACCTCTCTCAACCTGCTGGCCACGTTGCTTCTGATGCAGCCCAGGATGTGATTTGCCTTCTGGGCTGCAGACACACATTGCTGGCTCATGTCCAGCTTTTCGTTCACCAATAGTCCTTTTCCTCAAGACTGCTCTCTAGCACATCATCCCTCAGTCTGCAGTCTGATAACGAGGATTGCCCTGACCCAAGTGCAGGACCTTGCATTGTTGATTCTCACAGGGTTCACATGGGCCCACTTCTCCAGGTCCCTCTGGAGGACATCCCATCCCTCTGGCATGTCGACTACACCACTCACATTTGTAATCTGCAAACTTGCTGAGGGTGCACTAAATCCCACTGCCTGCATGACTGATGAAGATATTAAACAGCGCTGGTCTTAGTATGGACCCTTGAGGGACACCACTTGAAACCCATCTCCATCTGGACATGAAGTCATTGACCACTACCCTCTGGCTGCAACCATCCAATCAATTACTTATTCACCAACAATCCACCCATCAAATACATATTTCTCCAGTTCAGAGAGAAGGATGTTGTGGGGCACTGTGTCACCTCACAGAGGTGAGGCTGACAGGTAGGTAGTTCCCAGGGTCTTCTTTTCTACCATTTTTAAAGAGGGGTTTAATATTTCCCTTCTTCCAGTCCCCAGGGACTTCACCTGACTGCCGTGATTTTTCAGACAAATACACTAGCCAATTCCCTCAGGACTCTGGGATGCATCTCATCATGTCCTGTAGACTTAGCTATGTTCAGGTTTCTCAAGTGGTCACGGACCTTGTCTTTACTTACAGTAGGAGGGACTTTGCCCCCTTGATCCCCATCTTGTGCTCCCTCAACTCAGGAGGCGTGAGGAGAGAGGTTGTCAGTGAAGACTGAGGCAAAAATGTTAATGAGAACCTCAGCCTTCTCATCTGTTGAAGCTAGTTCAGAAATATGTGCACTGTTTCTGTCAAAGTAACTGTATTTTCTGTCTATTTAAAACCTTCTGCATTGAATTTACTATTTATTTTTTTAATAACATGTGGAAATGGCACTATGTGGCAGTTTTAGGTGTCTCTAAAAGAACAGGTGCCCAGACAGATGGTAGACTCTTTATCTTAGGCGACTTTCAAATGTTGGCTTGGTATGACTCTAAGCAACCTGATTCTAATTTCAATTTTGGACGGGGTGACCTACAGATGTTTCCTCCAATCTGAATTATTGTGTGATTCTGTCAAATAAATTAAATTTAAAACAACCAGTTCATCTGTTCCTGAGAGATCCTGATCCTACCATGAGCTGCTTTTCTGGCTCAGTAATTGTGACTTGTTGGATTCAAAATACTCATCTTTCGACATTTGTACAATGAGCACCATGCGGTATTCTGACTAATTTTGGCTGATTTTGACGGAGCTTGTTAGAATTGTGCTAATTAAGAGACTTGGATGTTGAAAATTATCTGTCTTAGTGGAATATGTAAAGAAATTGTAAACATCTGTGTTTGATATTTTCCCCCCTCTACAGATACAGAGGATGTTATTTTCATTGCTCTACCCATTGGATTAAGCATGCTGTTTCTGTTAGGCCTTTGGATAACATGCATTTTGAAAAAACATGCGTGAGTGCATTTTCTGCCTTCTAAAACTTAATGCAATATGTTAATTTTAACTTGTAAAAGGCAAATCTTTATATTTCCTGTGTATTGTTTTATGAATTTATGTATTTGTTGCGTTCCAAACCAATGTCAAATTAAGAAGCAGCTGGAGTGACAAATAACTAAGCATACAGATTTTCTTGTAACTGCGATTACTGTGCTATAGTCCAAAAATAAATACTAATTTTAGACAGTGCAGTAAATCAGAACAAAAGAAATGGGAGAAACAGATTTGCATATCACCTATATCAATTTATGGAAAACAGTGCATGCCTTTTGCAATTCCATTGCCAGCAAAGTGGGAGGAGCCTACTTTAAGTCAGTTACTGAAAAGCTAATAATGCCAGAAAGGCACTCTTAATATATCTGCAATTGAACACATTTCACATAACCCTTATTTCTTTTGTTAGCTAGGGTAGTATTCCTTTTATTAGTTTGTGATGCTTCCATTGAGCTGTGAAGAAGTCATAAAGAAACTAGAACATGAAGAAACACCGTGTCAAAGAGTTTGGATGCTTGATCCATAGATATGGATCCTTATCTGTACACGATTCATAATCCTTTTATTGGCCCTCAGACATGTCCCCTGCCAGATTTTAAATAGCTTCCTCAGAGCACGGAGATGCTGTAACATCTCAGAGATGACTGTGAGGATTTTTTAAGGTTATTAGATGTGCTTTTCTTCAGAATGAACAGTGACTGAGTAATTTGGCTGTAGCTTAATAAGAAAGTTAAAAACCTGAACTATTTTGGGCTGTTCTAAGATGTTAGAATGAACATTTTTGTCATGCAAAGCATCAGCTGATAAGTATAGCTGAAGTAGTAAGTACAACTTCCATCTCTTTGACATCTTCATCTGTGTTGTGTATTCTGAATTTTTTACAGTAGTAAGAAACTATGTGTCGGTTCTGGAGATTACTTTGAGATGTATTCTTTGAGGTGTATGAATGGTTATATTCTTCTGTAGATCAAATTGCACTGTGAAAAGTCAAGCTATGGCCTGGTTTTCATTTCCTTACATGTATACCCAGTATCAATATGTGATTAATTTTGTTTTCTGTTTACTGCTCCGTTGGGCAGTTATATACTACAGCGTCAGCATCATTTAGCTGCTGAAAACAAAAGACTGCAGCATAGCTCTAGTGTGGTGTAGTGCTAGGGACATTTTCCTGGAGCAGAGTTTACCTAAGGTAGCTTTTCAGTGAAGGACCACCCTGAAACATGATCACAAGAGGGTTTTTATGCAGCCTTATTTTCGCATACTATTATTTGATCTACTATATAATTTTTAAAAAAATACTTTTGTGCCGTAGTAATTTTTCTGCAATTAGTAAATTTTACTTATTGAGGTCTTTCGTGATAAAAATTAATGTGAAGGAAAACAGTTTAAATGGAAAGATTGTGTTAATATAGGAAAGACTTGCTTTGTGAAAGTTTGATATTTCGGCATTATTTAGGTTTTCTGGAGATTTGTTAATTTTATTTTTAATAACCTATTTCTTTCATCATTTGGCTAAAATTCTCTTTCTCAATGATAGGTTTAAAAGGATTTGCTGGCCTGATATACCCAATCCTGCAGAGAGCGTTGCAGTGGAATGGCCTCTTGATGCACCTGTGGTAATAATTGCAATTTTATGTGTTAAAGAAGGGATAAAATGGAGAGAAGAAAAGTCCTTCTCTGACAATCATTTTATGACTAAAGAAAAATCCAACATATTGAGTTTCATTCTTCTGTTTAAGTGCTATAAAGTGCTTTTCATTGTATTTCGAACTAATGGAAAAGATGCGTCTTCCTATATTCATTTAATTCTTATGTGATAACAAGAAATATAATATTTTGAAGTTAAAAAGTGAGTTGTGGACATGATTTATTACATAAAGTCCATTAAATTTGCCCAGGTTGTTGAGTCTACTGAGTCACAACTGGATATCTCCTCCCTTCTTCACAAAAAAGTAGTGCAACATATAATAAGATGTGGTATGTTATTGTATTAACATTTATGTTTTCTTCATTGTTAGATATTTATTCCGTATTAAAGTTCTGATGTTCATTTGAATTAAATGGATTTGGTCAGGTTTTCACAGAAAGTGTAATGTGTGGAGCATGGGATTTAAACTTCTCTCTCAGAAATGGCTGGTTAGAGTGAAAAAGACGGAAAAAGTCTGAGCCTGATTCTGAGTCTTCATTTAAATGCTTAATTAATAAACACAGGAAACACCATAAGAAAGTGCTTAAAAAATAGACAGGAAAACATTGTCATTTTTGGTAGTCATTCACATGTAACAGCATCCCAGTTGAAATACACATGAATTCTTTATTAATGCCCTTAAGAGTCAAACAGAGCAATATTCTATATATTTAAATAATAAACTAATGCATTATCTACCCCTATGTAACTTTCCAGTTTATGTCTTTGTACTGACAGAATAATTCGTTTTTGAAGGGAGTGACATCTGAGACTAAAACCATGGACTTTGAAGACATAAGTGTTTTGGAACATTGCTTTCCTGAAGAAAGTCAGGAAGGATCACCGCTGATGAATTGTGAAAACCATGTTTCTGAATACACTGATGTAACTATGAAAGGCATGATTAGTGGAGATAAAAAGATAATGTATCATAAAGAAAATGAAGTTGCTAAATGTTTTTCATCATCCATGCCTTACGTAATTGCTGATCAAGATATCAGAAGTCAAATGCAGTCAGCTTTAATAGCAGTGAAGGAAATCCAACCCACAGAAATGCTGGAAGATGATTTATGTGAATCCCAACAGACTTCAGTTAAAAATGAAGAAAATTATAGTGAAGAAGTTTTAAAGCTGGAAGATTTTAGTGGAAAAGCTCTGTTCAATCCATACCTAAAAAATTCTATTAAAACAAGGGAATTTCTGGTTTCTGAAAGCTTGCCGGAACACAGTAAGAAGGAACCCAAAGGCCAGTCAGCTGTCTTCCCTCCTTTTCAGCAGAATATTGCAGGACAATCTTACGTAACACTGGACATGTTCGGGCTGGCCACAGCTCATTAGTGTGAGAAAACTCGCCTTGCTAAAGTCCCGTCATGAGACACATCTTGAACTGCTGCTCATGTGTATTCATATGTTGTAACCTGGCTGATCTCAGTTAATATGGATGAAAATACCCCCTTCCTTGTTTTTTTTTTTGTGGTTTTTTTTTTTTTTACATGATAAATGTGCACTAGCAGTGAGGCAAAGGAAGTAGATTTTCTTATTTCTCCTTAGTTCTCAGATATCAGTCTGCTAAACCAAACCAATCGTGGTTAATGCAGCAGTCCAAGCAGCTCACAGATTTCCCCTCAGGCAAACAGTTCCGCAAGTTTCACTGGGGAAACATGGATGGACTTGAATAGAGCCAGGATCTTCTGAATCCTTCCTTAACTTACATGGAACAGAACTACTTTCCTGTTCTTATTTCCCTCAATTGTTTTGTAATGCATTTATGTGGTGTTCCTCCTGTTTTGCAAATATGTGGTAGATTTCATTAACTGTCTTTTTTGCATCTTGACTCTTTAATCAGGAGTTTGGCTCACAGTTTCACTGTCTTTAATGACAATAATATCCTCTTTAATGAGGATATTTGTTACATATATGCTATTGACTTATCTTTATTTCGGAAAAGGTAGGGTTTTGCTGACTTTGTTGCTTCCTGCCATTTCTCTTGTGTTTTTAACCATCGTGTGCATTTTGAGCTGATTTTGTCTCTCGTGTTTGCTGCTTTTTAAAATACTTTGCTGCAGGATATCTTTTTATCTTCTTGTTCATTTGCCTCTAATTTCCCCCTGTTTAAAACTATGTTTCCCAGTGGAGATTTGGTATTTTAAACTTAAAAAAAATATCAACTAAAAAAAATCAACTAAATACAGCATCTGGTGTTGGAATAAGCAGTGAGTTTATATTTAGGAAATTATTTTTCTGAGTGGTATTGAAAAAACAGACTAAGTTTACAATATCCTCTGTAACTAATTTAGGGTTAGAGATTTTTACATTAAGGCTATACGTTTTTCAATTTGTGTTATGGTTTTGCTAAGTCATTAAAGTACTTGTAGTTTCCATTTTATACAACAGCAATTAAGCGGGAAACTCCATCACACTGTTGGTTGGGGGTTTTTTGGTTTGATTTGGTTTGTTTTTCTTTCCACAGCAGGGAAGAGGCTATTACTGTAAAATTCTTACCAAAATGTTTGCTTTTTTTTAAAAATAACAGGCTAAAAAAAAGAGATGGAGAGTCAGCTCTAAGTAAAATGTGTTAAAAGGGAGCATTCACCATGTCACAAGTATGGCATATTGTCATTGTTTTTACAATATTTAAAGGCTTTACATCATCAGTCTTGTTTGCACATAACTACAGACTTCTTTAGGGGTGAAAAGAATACAGGAGTCATGGGGATAGAAAAAGGAGGGACCAATGTGAATAAGCTTATAAAGCCTTCCGCTTCCATGCAGGAGGAGGAGTGGAAGAACAGAAAGTATGTTATCCAGCGTGAATGAGGAGGCTGAGCCTTATGCTGGATGCACTGACTATTCCTTGTGTTATGTTGAGGAAGGCAGTGGGCGTTGCACTGTGTTGGGGAAGACAGTTGAAGTTTGCATTTAGGCTTTTCATCTGTAGTTTGGAAGCTGCTTTTGCTTATAGTTTGTTTAGTTTCTAAGAAAGGATGAGAGAATGATTTCTACAAATGTTCCTTGTGCAGCCCCCCCAAGTTTGTTGAATCACTTTCCCAACCACGGTGCTATAAGCCAAAATATATGTACATTTGTTCTTAAAAGCCCTCGCTTACTTAAATAAGTCAGTCTCTGAAATGAGCACGGGACACAACTTTGGTTGGGTCAATGCTCCTGCTGCTTCACTTGCTTCTGGACTTCTCGCTCACAGCTACATTGCTGTTTCGTAGGCCTCAGAGGTCACTGACTCAGTCACAGCAGGTTTTTTCCCCCTTAAATCTTGGTATTTGTTTTAATATCTAAAGATTTTAACGGCTACAGAGATATACTGGGGCCTGTCTAGGAATTGTTTAGCATACCTGATTGCATGATTGAGGCAAGCAAAAAAAAATAAATAGTGCGCCTTTAAGAGATTATTAGAAAGGGGAGGTTCTTGCTGGGTGTTTTGGGTAGCATCTCCCTGTAACATCTCTTAGTTATAATCTGCTCTTCCATCCCATTTTATTTCCTTCTCTATTGCTAATCTGCCTTTTTTTCCTTACTTCTGATTTCCTTGCCCACTATTTTCTTTGAAAAAGAGGAGGCTTAGTACACCTGAGAAATTAGGGTTGCCTTTGGCCCATGCTTTGGAATGTCAGCTTCTTGGACCTCATTTGGTTTCCATTCAGAGTTGTACTCCTGACTTTTTAGTTTATCTCTCAACCTAATGCTGTGAACCATGAAAAAAAAAACAAACTGAGAGCACGTGGCTTCTTTCCTGTTTCATAATGTTATAAGAGTGTCAGACCTAGTAGGAGAGGACACCCTGTCAGATTTCAGCAAAGGTGTTAGATAGTGCCAACATGGGACACATACAGGCCAACCAAGGTTGAGGCCCAATCGTCCCGGGTTTATGAAGGGCAGGGTCTGCTTGACTAACCTTATTTCCTTCTAATGACAAAGTGACCAGCTTAGTGGATGTTGATGTGATGTTGTCCACCTGGACATCTGTAAAGGCTTAGACACCCTTTCCCACAGTATTCTCCTGGAGAAACTGGCTGCTCATGGTTTGGATGGGAGTATTATATGCTAGGCGAAAAACTGGCTGGATGGCCAGGCCCAAAGAGTGGTGGTGAATGGAGTTAAGTCCAAGTGGCAGCCAGTGGCAGGTGGTGTTCCCCAGGGTTCAGGATGTTTGATATCTCTGACAATGATCTGAGCGAGAGGATCAAATGCACCCTCACTAAGTTTGCACCACCAAGTTAGGTGGGAGTGTTGATCTACTGGAGGACAGGAGGTTTCTACAGAGGGATCTGGACAGGCTGGATCAATGACCCAAACCCAGCTGTATGAGGTTCAACAAGGCCAAGTGTCAGGTTCTGCACTTGGGCCTCAACAACCCCCAGCAATGCTACAGGCTTGGAGAAGAGTTTCTGGAAAGCTGTGTGGCAGAAAAGGATCTGGTGGTGTGGGTGGGCAGCCAGCTGGATGTGAGCCAGCAGTGTGCCCAGGAAAGCCAATGGCATCCTGGCCTGTATCAGGAATAATGTAGCCAGCAGGACCAGGGCAGGGTTCCCCCCTCTCCTTGGCACTGGTGAGGCCGCACCTTGAATGTGTTCAGTTTTTTCCTCCTCACCCCAAGAAACACCTTGAGGTGCTGGAGAGTGTCCAGAGAAGGGCAGTGAAGCTGGTGAAGGGTCTAGAGCACGAGTTTTACAAGGAGCAGCTGAGAGAACTGAGATTGTTTAGTCTGGAGAAAAGGAGGCTGAGGGGCGACCTTGTTGCTCTCTACAACTAACTGAAAGGAGATTGTAGCAAGGTGGATGTCAGTCTCTTCTGCCAATAGGACAAGAGAAAACAGTCTTAAGTTGCAGTAGGGGAGGTTTAGATTGGATATTAGAAAAATATCTCCACTGAAATAGTTGTTAAGCATCAGAACAGGCTGCCCAGGGAAGTGGTTGAGTCAGCATCCTTGTAGGTATTTAGAAGACATGTAGATACGGCTCTTGGGGATGTTCTACTGGTGGACCTGGCGGTGCTAGGTTAACAGCTGGTTTTGATGATCTCGACCTGCTATGATTCCATAGGGTGCATTCTAGATATAATCTACTGTGTTATGTTAACTATTTTCCAGGGCAGACGGGAGCTGAGAACGTGAGACCTAACATTTCATCCTGTTCCAGACTTTTTGTATGTACACTCATGTATACCACTCCTAAACACAGGAATGAGAATTATATTAATACTTTTTAACCTAGTCAATGCACTCATGTCTTGCTCGTTCTGAGCTCCTTGCCAGCTAGTCTTATATTATTTATATGGGCATTTTGATTTCCTCCCCTGATCCCTTGGTTGTCTCACTAATGGCTGTTAGACTTTACATGAAGGTGTGTTCAGATATACCATGCGTTATGCATATGTGCTTGTCTTCACTGAATTTGCCTGTATGAGAAAACTTAAGCATTCTTGTTGGAGAACAACCAAATTAAAAGCACAGTGGAAAGCATATTGTGTTCTTTCAGTATGATTTTTCCAGTATGTTGGACATTCACAGATAAGGAAAGTTCAAATGTTACATTGCTTACTTCCTTTAGAGTTTATGCAGTGTCTTCAGACATGGGAGTTTTAAGAAGAGAAGAGGAGGTGGCACTGTTGCTGCTGCAAGTTGGTGTAGCTTCAGCAGAAGTGAAACAGTTACGCAGATATACATCATCTGTGTAGCTACATTGATGCCTCTGAGAAACTGCCTGGTGAAGTTTTTGAGAAACTGCCCATTGAAGGTTTTGTGTACACCTGAATATGTTTATATATACCTGTGCCTCAGCTTAAACACAGCGAAGTATCATAATTAACCTAGTGTTTGTGCAGAAATACCTGCAGAGAAGGAGGATGTTTGTGTAATTTATACTTCTGCTCAGTCCGATTCATCAGTACAGATGAGAATGCAAGCTGGGACTGTCTGTTTTGTGTTATGCATGGAGTCTAGTATAAGAGCCCAGAAGATCCTGCACTTGACCAGAAATCCTAATCTATATTTTTACTGTATTTGTTGCTGTGCTTTTAAATTGATGCTTCTTGTTTCAGTGCGTGTGGTGCCTTCACGTCTGAGTTTCCCATGTGAGGCGGCGATTGTCTCCTTTCATTCACAGTTCAGTGCAAACCAGATTTGAGACTCTACAAAATTTGCTTGTAAACAGATCAGATGTGTATTACTTTGAGCTGGTGTTCTGAGTAGCTTTCCTTTGGCTTCAGATCTACTGCAAAGATAGGGAAAAACTTGTTTTCCTGCTCTGTGTTAATGTTTGCCACATTGATAACAGAAGATATGTTCTCAATGCAGGTAAGGCTGAGCACTTAAGTACATGGAC